CATCCATGTCCCATCCATGTCCCATCCATGTCCCATCCATGTCCCATCCATGTCCCATCCATGTCCCATCCATGTCCCATCCATGTCCCATCCATGTCCCATCCATGTCCCATCCATGTCCCATCCATGTCCCATCCATGTCCCCTTCATGTCCCATCCATGTCCCATCCATGTCCCATCCATGTCCCATCCATGTCCCCTTCATGTCCCATCCATGTCCCATCCATGTCCCAGCCGTGTCCCAGCCGTGTCCCATCCATGTCCCATCCATGTCCCCTCCATGTCCCATCCATGTCCCATCCATGTCCCAGCCGTGTCCCAGCCGTGTCCCAGCCGTGTCCCAGCCGTGTCCCAGCCATGTCCCATCCATGTCCCCTTCATGTCCCATCCATGTCCCATCCATGTCCCAGCCGTGTCCCAGCCGTGTCCCAGCCATGTGCTCCTCTGTGTCCCCACCGGTGTCTTTGTCACGATGAAGGACGAGGCCATTCTGTTTATTAAATTGTAGCGCGGCGCGGCGCAGCCCTCGGAGCCGCTGACCCCGGTTATTTATAACGCGGGCGGGGAAATCGCAGCCCCGGGCTGGGGCTTTTCTGTGGAGAATTATGGAAAAGAGAATCGATAGTGCGGGCTGGGGCCGAGGTGGTGGGGAATTGTGGGGTCAGATCCAGGAATCGCTTCACTGCCGCAGCTGAGCTGAGCTGGGCTGAACCCCACGGCTCCCCAGGACCACACCCAGCGCCCAGGATCTCCCCTGGCTCCCCAAGACCCCCTCGGCAGCTGCGGGGAGGCTCTGGCAGCAACACTGGGGGATGTCGGGGTATGGGGGGAGTCAGGGTTTGGGGTTTTTGAGGTCTGGGGGGGTCAGGGTGTGGGGGTATCAAGGTCTGGGGGGAGTCAGACTGTGGGGTTGTCAGTGTTTGGGGGTATTGAGGTCTGGGGATGTCAGGGTATGGGGGTACCATGGTCTGGGGCTATTGAGGTCTGGGGGGATCAGGGTATGGGGGGATCGGGATCTGGGGGTATCAAAGTCTGGGGGCAGTCACGGTGTGGGGCTGTCAGTGTTTGGGGGTTTTGGGGTCTGAGGGTCAGAGTCTGGGGTCTCTCAGTGTTTGGGGGTATCAGGGTTTGGGGTCAGGGTGTGGGGCTGTCAGTGTTTGGGGGTATCGGGGTTTGGGGTCAGGGTGTGGGGCTGTCAGTGTTTGGGGGTATCAGGGTTTGGGGTCAGGGTGTGGGGCTGTCAGTGTTTGGGGGTATCGGGGTTTGGGGTCAGGGTGTGGGGCTGTCAGTGTTTGGGGGTATCAGGGTTTGGGGTCAGGGTGTGGGGCTCTCAGTGTTTGGGGGTATCGGGGTCTGGAGGTCTCAGAGTTTTGGGGTCTCAGGGTGTGGGGGTGTCCGGATCCGGGGGTGATCCCCCTCCCGGCGCCGCTGTGGGTCGGAGCTGGGCTCTCCCGGTGCTCCTCGTGCCGCCCGTGATTAATGGGGGGAATTAGGCCGATAATGGCTCTTAAACGCCGGTGCCGGTTGCAGGCGCCGCGCCCCGATGGCTGATGGATGGTGCCGGGCCCTGGGTAGGCGCGATCGGAGCAGAGTCACGATCGGGGTGGGAGTGAGGAGGGGGTTGTGACGTCATGCGGCAAAGTGACGTCACTGGGATGCGTGACGTCACACACCGGCTCAGGCGCGCTGGTCTGGAGCGGCCGGCGCTGCTCCCCCATTATCGGGCTGCGCAAATCGTCACGCCATGTCGCGATAGTGCTGCCGTGTGGTGCCCGTTCGCGTCCCTCGGAGTCCCCGGGATCCATCCCCTGCTCCAGGGCTGATCCCGGAGCGCAGCTCTGGCGGTTTTGGAACCCATCCCGTTAATTCTCCATTTAATTATCGGCTCTTTGGTTATTGTTTGTTTGCTTTACTCGGGATGAATTTTTTATGCCGGTTTCCATCAGGCCACGCCAAAATCCCGTGGGATTTACGGCTCTGGAGGGAGCGGAGCCGGATCAGGGGAGGGCCCGTGAGCAGAGAGTGGTGACTCCTGGGGGCTCCGGGGGCTCTGGGGGTCCCCAGGGGATGCGGGGACTGGAAGGGTCTGGAGAGGTTGTGACCTTGTCCTGTGGGATGTGTGGAGCTGGGATGGCGGCTTTGGACTCGTTCCGTGTGGATCTGGAGGGATCTGGAAGGGCTGGAATTTGAGCCGAGGGCTGTGCGGATCTGTGGATCTGTGATGTGAGGGGTCTGGGGGATGTGAGGATCGGGAGGGGGCTGGGGGAGCTGGAATTTCACCCAAGGGTTGTGTGGATCGGGAAAGGTCTGGAGCAGCCGTGAACTTGTGGCTGTGAACCGTGGGCAGGAGCGTTCTGGGGCCGTTGTGACACATCCCGTGGGATGTGCGGAGCTGGGATGGGAACAAGGGGGCTGCGGATTTATCCCGTGGGATGCACGGATCAGGACGGGGCTGGGAGGGCTCCGTGATCCATGGATTGCGCCTGGGAGGGGTTTTGGGAGGGGCTGTGGATTTGATCCATGAAATGTGCGGATCGGGAGGGGTCTGGGGGGGGCCGTGAACTTTTCCCATTGGATGTGTGGATCTGGAGGGATACGGAGGGGGGATGCTGTGGACTTTTCCCATTGGATGTGTGGATCTGGAGGGAGCCGGGGGGGCTCTGTGGTGCTGGGGGGGGCTCAGCCGAGGCCGGGAGCCGGAGGAAGCGTGTGCTCAGGTGCAGGCACGTTCATCCCGAGCCACAGCATCTCCCATTAATGAAGCACTTCATCACAGCTCCGTGCCAGGGGGGGCACCCAATTCCAGGTGATAAATTCCCGGCGACGGCCCTCGCTCGCTCGCAGCAGCCGTGATTCTCCTTCATCTTGAATAATATTTTTGGAGCGGTTGTAAAATAACCCAACGCAGCAGCTGCCAGCGGAGCCGCGGGCTCCAAACCTCCCACCCCCGGTCCCCCCCGGTCCCCCCCGGTCCCCCCAGCCCCCCCGATGTCACCTGTGTGTGTGTGGCTCACGTGTGCGGCCACGCGGATGCCGAGCGGGTGTGGCTGTGGCTTGTGCGGCTCGGTGAGAGCGCAGGGAGGTGCAGCTGAGCCCCCCAGAACCTCGGGGTGCCCCCCAGGCTGCTCCCTTGGAAATCTGATTTTTGTGGTCGTGGTCACCCTTGTGCCACTCAGATCTCTTAAGTCCTTCCCTGGGTCTCTGAATTTTGGGGTGAGGATACCCCCAGACCCTTGGGTGCCACCCTGAATCCCTGATTTTGTAGTGAAAGTCTACCCAGACCCTCTCCTGAACTCCTGGAATTTGGGGTGAGGGTCCCACCCAGATTCCTGTGTGCCCCACCTCAGACAGCTGGGTTCCCCCTGAACCCCTGAATTTTGGGGTAAGGGTCATCCCCAGACCCCTGGCCCCACCTTAAGATGCCTGAGTCTCTCCCAGACCGCTGAATTTTGGGGAGAGAGGTGATTTCCAGACCTCTGAGTCCCCTCCGGAGCCCTGAATTTGGGGGGGGGAGGATTCCTTCCCGGACCCCCAGCTCCCCCAGACGGGTTCCCATGCACTGAACGGGCAGAGCTCCCTGGTGTGGGTGGTGGAGCTGCCCAGATGTGCACATCTGTACACACATGTTCCCACATGTTCACACGTCCTGGGCTGCTGTGATTCCTTCCTTTCTGGGAAGGATTTGAGTGTTCTTCCCCCAAAATGCTGACCCCACTTGTGCCAGGCTGGAGAAGAAGCTCCGGTGGCACTTCTGTGCTGGTGGTTGTGGTGTCACCCTCGGGGGGCTGGGGCCCACCTTGGAGCCCCCCCAGTTCCCCATCACGGCTGCTCCCGAGGGCTCCTGGCACCCCCCCGGAACAGGAAAACACCGCACGGAATTAAACTCTTAATTACAGTCATTAATGAGCGTGGAGGCAGCTGGGCTCCGCGGGCAGGGAATCCCGCAGCATCCCAGGGGAGCTCCTGCAGGGAATGGGGGGTGCAGGGTGTCCCAAAGTAGAGCTGGGGGCGACAGCACCGGGGCTCCCCAAACCCTCCGGGTCAGCGATCCAGCCCTTCCAGGGTGTTCCTGTGCACACATCCCATGGATCCCCTCTCGTACCCCCCCGTGCCCCCCTGGGCAGAGGAAGGTGATGAAGGACACGCGGGCAGTGCCCAGGGCAGGATGCTCCGTCTCGGGGAGTGGCGCTTAATCAATCACATTAAATCTCTAATTATATCACCCGGGGCCTTGGATGCGCCTCAGCCTTCTCTCGTGTCCAGGGTCTCCCGAGAAATTCCTCCCCTTTGTCCCTTAGCTGGAAGAGGAAAGGGTGGGCGGCACCGTGGTGGGGGGGACCCCACGCATGGCTGAGAGAGGGGAGCATCCCTGGGGGACTCCAAGGACCCCCAAAGTGGGGGTTCAGGGCTGTGCTGTCTCTCTCTGCTGCCATAGCATGACCCCCCATCCCTGCTGGGTCCCTGCTGCCCCTCTGGCCGCCCGCTCCATCCCTCTCGCGGTCCTTTGTTGGGTACTAATAGCCGGTTTCCATATGCACGGCAGCATCTGTTCCTGCCAGGGAGATTTGCATCGCTAAATGTAAATTGGGTGTTCTATCATTTATCATAAACGGGAGGGCGGGTGGGGTGGGGGGAGGCGAACCTCGGCCAAGTTGTCATCGGGAATCACACGGCTCATCCTTCGCCCCGGCACCAAAGTGCGGAGCCACCTGTGATGGGGCTGCGCGTGGAGGGACCGGGCTGGCCCCGCGTGGGGAGGGACGGCGAGGCCGTGTGGGGACATCGGGGGTCGCACCCAGCTCTCACCAGTCCCCCTGATATCAGGGTCATCCCGGGGGAGGCTGGAAGGAGTGGAGGGCGCCGGGGTTCAGGATTTGGTTTCCAGTCTCCCTCTCCCTCCCCACTGGCCGTGTCCCCGGGCCGGGATGTCCCGACCCGCCCCGTCCCTCCCAGCCCTGCCGCAGACGCCTCCCTCTCCTCCTGCCCACCCCTCCATCCTCGGCCGGACCTCGGAACCTCCGTCACCGCCGGACCGATCCCACCCTGGCCATGAAGGGTCCCCTGCGTGGAGGAATGTTCTCCCGGCATGTCAAACGGCACCCCGGAGTGAGTCACCCAGCCCCCCTTTCCTCCAGGGACCCCCTGTCCCCCCCTGCCCTCTCCCCCCGCTCCCAGGGACCCCGCGCAGCCCCCATCCCTCAGGCTTGTCCTTGCCCATCTCTCGCCACGTGCCCGGAGCCCCTGGGCTTCCTCACCTCTTTATCCCTCCATCCCATCATCCCACTCCCCATTCCTCCTGTTCCGTGCCTTTCATCAGCCTTCTCTTCCTCCCACTTCCCAAAACTCTCCTCAGCCCCCAGTCCCTCGTTATTCCGGCTTCCCCTTCCCGCTCTCACAGCGGCCCCGGGTGAGCCAGGGGTTCCGAGGATCCCCATCCCTCCTTTACCAAGGAAAGGTGACACCACACTGTGCTTCCCACCCCGTTACCTCCATCCAGCACTGGAGAGGGGCCAGGCTCCTTCACCGAGCCCGGCTGGGGCACCTCAACCCTCACCCACATCCGAGGGGACCTTCCCCGTGTCCCTCCCCACCCCCTACACCCATCTGGGGGCATCTTGGTCAGGGTGGATGGAAATGAAGCCCCCTCCCCACTCACCTCAGCAGCCCCAGAGCTGTCCCTGTTACCCCCCAAAATGTCAAGCTGAGGGGTTTGGGTAAAAAATGCCTCAACCCCGGGGCTGGGCACTGCCAGGGGGGTGCCAGCACCGTGGGCACAGGCGGTTGGGACCCCCAGGATGCTTCCCATGTCCTGGGATGGGCAACACAGGCCGAGGCTCCTGCGTCATCCTCACTGCAGAATGGGGAGTTTTGGGGTGTCTTTGTTCCTGCCACGGTTTCCCCAGCTGAGGAGCTGTGAGTGACTTGGGGGGCACAAAGAAGAGCCCAAACTGGAGGTGTAAAGGCATGGGGAGGGGGGCAGAGTGTTTGTACAGCTGGGTTGCTGCTGGCAGAGGTTGTTGGGGCAATTTTTGTGGTGTTACCCACCCTGTGTGGCGTCATCCATCCATCCATCCATCCATCCATCCATCCATCCATCCATCAATCATCCATCCATCTATCCATCCATCATCCATCATCCATCCCTGTCCATCCATCCATCCATCCATCCATCCATCCATCCATCCATCCATCCATCCATCCATCCATCCATCCATCCATCCATCCATCCATCCATCCATCCATCCATCCATCCATCCATCCATCCATCCATCCATCCATCCATCCATCCATCCATCCATCCATCCATCCATCCATCCATCCATCCATCATCCATCATCCATCCATCCATCCATCCATCCATCCATCATCCATCCATCCATCCATCCATCCATCCATCCATCCCTGTCCATCATCCATCCATCCATCCATCCATCCCTGTCCATCATCCATCCATCCATCCATAAATCCATCCATCCATCATCCATCCATCCATCCATCCATCCATCCATCCATCCATCCATCCATCCATCCCTGTCCATCCATCCATCCATCCATCCATCCATCCATCCATCCACCCACCCATCCCATGCTCTCAGCCGCGTCGTTGCCGGGCAGGTGTAGCCGCACTTTCCCCCAGCAATGGCTCCTCCTCGGCAGCGTGCCCGGCTGCCTGGCAGTGATGGATGTCCCAGGCTCACGATGCAGCACCGAGGCCGTGAGGCACAGCAGCTCTGGCAGGACCAGAACCCGCTGGCACGGCTCGGTAGGCACCGAGCGGGCACCGGGCAGAGCCTGGCACCGCTCCCCACCGCCCACACACCCCGTGCCTGGGGGAAATCGGGCTCCACCGCTGGCACCTGCGGCTTGGCAGCCTCCTCCTGCCCCTAATTCTTCCCAGCCATTAATTACCCAGACGGTGTCGGCAGCAGATGGTGAGACGGCCCCGCTGCCCCGAATCCTCTCCAGCAGCCACAGCAATTCCCGGCGCTGCGGCGGCTTCTTGATTCGCCAGCGCTTGGGCAGCGGCTGCTGCCAGCTCCTGCCGGCACTCGGTGCCAAGGAGCATCATCCGCTGATGGCCCTGACCTCCCGGATGGGCGCTGGCATCTGCCGGGCGCCCCATCACTCCAGCCTGGCTTGAGCTGGAGCTGGGCCATACTGGGAGCACTGGGAGAGGACGGCGGGGGGCCGGTGGGGAGCAAAGGCTGGGCAGGGGGACACATCTGTGTTCCCCCCCTTCCCGTGCATGGATGTGCTTGGCAGAGAGCAGATGGGTTGGACTGACCCTTTCCATCGTATTTCCCACTCGTGCCCCCCCTGCCCAGTGTCATCGCAGTGGGGAAACTGAGTCACGGAGCGGTGGGCGTTCGCTTCGGGGGCAGTTCCTCCGAGCTGAGGCTGCCGAGCAGAGCTGCGAGCGGAGCCAGGTGCTCGGCGCGGATCCATCGGCACCGCTCCCGTTAATGGGCAGGACGCGGCTCCCTCCAGGGGCACGGGCTGGCGCCGCTCTCATTTCGCTCCCCGCGTCCTCCCCGGCGCGGGGGCCGCGGCAATTTGGGGGAGGTCAAAGCCGCCTCGGCTCGGCTCCGATTGAGGCCGCGTCGCTCCGGGCACTGGGGGATTGGCAGCGAGAGCGGAGATGAGGAGATGGAGCCGCGCTGCGATGGGCGAGGAGCGGGGGGAGAGGGGAGTCGCTAGCAGGATGGATGTGGCGGGGCTGGGGTCACTGAGTGCACCCCAGGAGCCGCTCTGGACCTCCGGCTGCTCAGCCCCAGCGTGTCCCAGTTCATCCCAGTAACACGAACAGAGCCTCCTTGTCTCGTGCTCTGTCAGGAGATGGTGCAGGGGAGGGGGTGCAGAGCCTGGGGGGCTGTGGGGGACAGGGACTCTGTCCGGGGTCACAGCGTGGCTCGGGGACAAACCTTGCCCAGGGCCGAGTACCTCAGGGAGGAGCCACGAGTGGAGTCACTGGGAACACTGGGAATGCTGGAAATGGGGTGCTCAGCACCGAATCCTTCAGGAATGAACCATGAGCTGAGGTTCACTCAGACCAGGGGCACTGGCAACACCGGGAATGGGGTGCCCAGGACCAAATCCTCCAGGGAGGAGCCTGAAACTGAGGTTCAGCCCAGAGAGGGAACACTGGGAATGCCGGGAATGGGGTCCCCAGGTCCTCAGCAGCACCAGCACTGGGCAGCCACAGGCGGAGGAGAAGCGATTTCTCATTCCAAATCCAATTCCTCTCCAACACGAGCCGATTTTTCTCTCCCTCTTTTAATTCAGTCACTCAAGCTGACAGCTACACTGTGTACCGCAGCCCGGCTACAGGATTGCTCTGCCATATTCCCCCTGTAAATCTCCCGGCGTGTCAGCTCTCCCTTTCACTCTCCAGTCCGCCTGATAAATATTCATTTTATTGGGGTATTTTTCATTTCTCTCTCTCTCTCTCTCTCTCTCTCTCTCTGCAGCTCGTTCCCCTCATTGGCTTCATCAGCGTGGGCCTGGGCAGCGCAGTCCTGTACCTGCTGCGGCTGGCCCTGTACAGCCCAGATGTCAGGTACGGCTTGAGGTGCCCTGGGCACCCCCAGGCTCTCACCTCACACCCCCAGAGCTTGGGGGGACCAGCCCAGGTGTGGTTCCAGGTGCTGGGGTGTCCAGGCACACCTTCAAGGTGAATGATGGGGGAAAATGTGGGTGCAGAGGTGCTCAGAGGACAGGAGGGAATTTGGGGGGTTGTATCCCCTCTCCTTGGGTTGGGGGGATAGGAGAAGGGCCCCTCCAGTGCTCTTAGCCAGGTAAGAGCTGAATGTGGCTGATGGGCAAGGGCGTGGGGAGAGTGGGACTGAGGGGAATGGGAAATGGTGGGATGGATGGATGATGGATGGACGGATGGATGGATGGAGGATGGATGATGGATGGACGGATGGATGGATGGAGGATGGATGATGGATGGACGGATGGATGGATGGAGGATGGATGATGGATGGACGGATGGATGGATGGAGGATGGATGATGGATGGACGGATGGATGGATGGAGGATGGATGATGGATGGACGGATGGATGGATGGAGGATGGATGATGGATGGACGGATGGATGGATGGAGGATGGATGATGGATGGACGGATGGATGGATGGAGGATGGATGATGGATGGACGGATGGATGGATGGAGGATGGATGATGGATGGACGGATGGATGGATGGAGGATGGATGATGGATGGACGGATGGATGGATGGAGGATGGATGATGGATGGACGGATGGATGGATGGAGGATGGATGATGGATGGACGGATGGATGGATGGAGGATGGATGATGGATGGACGGATGGATGGATGGAGGATGGATGATGGATGGACGGATGGATGGATGGAGGATGGATGATGGATGGACGGATGGATGGATGGAGGATGGATGATGGATGGACGGATGGATGGATGGAGGATGGATGATGGATGGACGGATGGATGGATGGAGGATGGATGATGGATGGACGGATGGATGGATGGAGGATGGATGATGGATGGACGGATGGATGGATGGAGGATGGATGATGGATGGACGGATGGATGGATGGAGGATGGATGATGGATGGACGGATGGATGGATGGAGGATGGATGATGGATGGACGGATGGATGGATGGATGGATGGATGGAAAGGCAGCTGTGGAATCACAAAGGATGGATGGACAGGACAGCTCCACATGCTGGGGTGACCAGGCTGGTTTTTCCACATCCCCCACTGCCCCCCAGCTCATTTGTAATTGTTTGCTCCTAAAACCACCCATGGAATTAATCTGGCACCAGATGAGCTCAGCCCCACAATTAGCAGATCCAGACACCTTGGCTTGGAGGGTGGGAGCGCAGGGAGGGGCATTTGGGAGGGAAACCCAGCCCCCCACCCATCCCCCAAACACATGAACACCTTTAAACAGCTCCAGGGGGGCTGTGTTTGCAGCACAGCCCCCCCTCCATCCCCCGACACACACAAACATCCTCCCAGATGGAAAATTCTGCTCTTGGCCAGCACCAGCGGATGGGGGGACAGGAGAAGGGGGGGCAGCATAAACTGCTCTCTCCAGGGACCCCATCCCACGGCTCCTCTGGCCTCCCACAGCCCCTCCCGGGACAGGGATGTGTCCTTGGGGAAGGGTTCAAGGAGAACTGGGGATGGTGATGTTGGGGCTGGGGGCACGCTGGGGGTGGGGAGGGGTCTCTCCTCCGCTCCTTCCAGGTGCTGATGTCCCTGTCACCCCTCGCAGCTGGGACCGGAAGAATAATCCTGAACCCTGGAATAAGCTGAGCCCCACAGACCAGTATAAAGTGAGCACTGGGTGAACTGGGAGGGCTGGCAGCATGGGGGGAGGGGGAGGCAGCCCCATTTAGGGCAGAACACTGAGTTTATTCCAGGAAGGGGAAAGGGGGGATCAGTCCTGGAGCCCCTCAAATCCTTGTGCTGGAATTTGGGGAAGGGGCACAGTGAGACACCAAGGCCAGGCTGCAGTGACACTGGAGAAGGCCACGACCCCCCCTGACCTCCCTCCCTTCTCCAGTTTCTGGCAGTTTCCACTGACTACAAGAACCTCAAGAAGGACCGTCCCAGCTTCTGAGCCACCTCTGGGACGTGCTGCCGTGGAGGGGGAGACCCCTGCCCCAAGAAAGCCCCTGACAGCCCCCACCCCCAGGTCCCACTGCTTCCCCAGCACCCCCAAACCGCGTGATTGTGTCCCACCCCCCCAAAAAACCACATCCCTGTGGGTGCCCCCGTGCCCCTCACCCTCGCCTGCATTAAACTCGTAGCACAGGAATAAATTATGGGGGGGCGCAGCAAACTGGATTCTTTATGGTTTCCCAGAGCCATGAATGCAGATTTTATCACCCCCCCGGGAGGGCTGTAAGCAGGACAAGCCCTCGGGTGCTGTTTCCGCTCTCTCACGCTCCACCATCCCCTCCTGAGTCCCTCTGGAGAGGGGAAGAGCTGGGAGGGGTGGAGGGGTCACAGCCACACGTGTGAGCCACGTCCTGGATGTGTCTGCAGTACGTGACACGGGGCAGGGTCCGGCTGGTGCCCATCTGGGCAGGAAGGGGGTGAGAAAGGATCCCAGGCTATCCCTCCCCGCTGTACCCCACGTGTTCTGGGGCTCAGCATCACCCCCTGCCCTCAGAGCCCACTGGGGGAAGCACCAGGATGGGGACACTGAGGCACAAGAACCCCGGGTCTCCTGGCACGGTGCTGAGGGGCTCCAGGGACCCATCCCCAACATCCCTCTGTCCCCCAGCACAGCACCCACACACCTCCAGGCTCTGCCCCTGCTTTTATTAGCAACCCCTCCCCATAGAAAAGTGCAAGATGAGGCTGGAACAAGCGGTGCCCCCCACCCCAAGCAGGGTCTGGGGGTTCTCTGTACCCTAACACTGAGAGCAGGGCGGGCGCGCGCCGCCCCCACCCTGGGGACGCAGCCCCCAAAGGTGATATCGAGGAAGAAGGAGAGGGGGAAAGGCAGAAGAGGGTGGGCCCCAGCCTCTCCTTGTCCCCCCCAGTGACCCCAGCCTGGCAGGAGGGGCGTCCCCCCCTCAGTGGTCACTGAAGCCGGGCATGGGGAAGGCACGAGCGAAGGTCTCGACGCGCTGGCGAAGGTCGCTCAGGCGCCGCTGCGTCTCCGGGTCCTGCAGCAGGAAGGTCTTGAAGTCCTGGAGCTTACCTGGGGGTGGGGAGGAGCAGGTGAGGAGGGTGAGGATCCATGGCAGCCCCCTCCCTTCCCAGGCACCCACAGCAGGGCTGGCACCAGTCTGGGGAGCAGGGCTGGCACCTCAAGGGGAGAGGGGCTGAGGGGCACCCAGGAAGGGGGAAATGGGGAGAGAAGGGTCCCCAACACTCACTGGTTTTGCTCTTGACGTCCAGGGCCAGGGCGATGCCCTCGTCAATGAACTCCACGACCTTCTGGAAATCCTCCTCGCGGAAGTGGCGGGAGGTCAGAGCGGGGGCACCTGGGGATGGAGCCCATCAGGGACAGAAACACTGTGGGGGCACCAGCCCCACAAGGAGCTCCCTGAGTCCCAGCCCTCCAAGGAACTCCCTGAATCCCAGCCCCACAAGGAGCTCCCTGAGTCCCAGCCCCACAAGGAACTCCCTGAGTCCGAGCCCCACACAGAGCTCCCTGAGTCCCAGCTCCTCTCCACATCACCCCAAGTTCTGGTCCCCATGGGGTCCTGCCCCCTTTCCCAGCCAAAACAAGCTCTGAATTCCCCTTCCCTCAGAGAAGGGTGAAACACAGTGGGGTTCTGTGGGGTGCAAACCTGGGGACTCCCACCCCAGGGATGGAGCCTTGCCAGGGCCTGTCCCTCACCGAGGCGCAGTCCCCCGGGTGTCAGCGCGCTCCTGTCCCCCGGGCACGTGTTCTTGTTGGCGGTGATGGACACGAGCTCCAGCACCCGCTCTGCCCTCGCCCCGTCGATGCCCTTGGGCCGCAGGTCCACCAGCACCAGGTGGTTGTCGGTGCCACCTGGGGAGCAAAGGACAAGGGTGAGGAACCCTGAGCACCCCCAGACCCCTCTGCCTCCCCCATCCTGCTCTGCAGTGCTGCCTCAGTTCCGCCTCACCCCCACTCCTCTACCCCCCGATCCTCCTCCACTGCTGCCCCGAGAGCGAGCGGAGCCGCTTGTCCCCGCCACGGCTCACCCCTGCCCACCCCAGCCGGAGCTTTACCTGACACCAGGGTGTACCCACGCTGCAGCAGCGCCTGTGCCATGGCCTTGGCGTTCCTCAGCACCTGCTGGCAGTACTCCCGGAAAGCCGGGGAGCCGGCCTGGGATGGGGAACACCCCATCAGCACAGGGGGGACAGCTCACCCCCCCGCCCCAAGCCCCCCACCCCGGCACAGACCTGTTTGAGGGCCACGGCCACGGCAGCAATGGCGTGGTTGTGGGGTCCCCCTTGCAGGGAGGGGAACACGGAGAAGTTGATCCTGTCCTCCAGGTCGTAGAGGGTCTCCTTGCCCGTCTTCTTATCCACGGAGCGCACGCCCTTGCGGTAGAAGATCAATCCCGACCTGGTGGCGAGAGACGCCGTCACCTCTCCTCCCCGGGGGCCACCGCCCCCCGTGGGCTCCGCAGACGCATCCCCCGTGCCCGGGGGTCTCACCTGGCGCCACGCAGGGTCTTGTGCGTGGTGCTGGTGACCACGTCCGCGTGCTCGAAGGGCGATGGGATGGCCTTGGCGGCCACCAGCCCGCTGATGTGCGCCATGTCCGCCAGCAGGTACGCCTTGACCTCCTCGCACACCTGGGGACACCGCGGTCACCTGCTGGCCCCGGGCCCCCGCCCCAGGCCCCAGACCCCTCCCCACGCACCCTCTTGATGCGGGCGTAGTCGATGAGCCGGGCGTAGGCGCTGGTGCCCGCGATGATGAGACGGGGACGGAAGAGCCGCGCTGTCACCTCCAGCTGGGCGTAGTCGATCAGTCCTGTGGTGGGCTGGGAGGGACAGACAGACGGACAGGTCAGTCCAGGGACAGACTGGTCAGTCCAGGGACAGATGGACAGACAGACTGGTCAGTCCAGGGACAGACTGGTCAGTCCAGGGACACACAGACAGGTCAGTCCAGGGACAGACGGACAGACAGACAGGTCAGGCCAGGGACAGACGGACAGACAGACTGGTCAGTCCAGGGACAGACTGGTCAGTCCAGGGACAGATGGACAGACGGACAGGTCAGTCCAGGGACAGACTGGTCAGTCCAGGGACACACAGACAGGTCAGTCCAAGGACAGATGGACAGACAGACAGGTCAGTCCAGGGACAGATGGACACACAGACAGGTCAGTCCAGGGACAGATGGACAGACAGACTGGTCAGTCCAGGGACACAGACAGACAGGTCAGTCCAGGGACAGATGGACAGACAGACAGGTCAGTCCAGGGACAGATGGACAGGTCAGTCCAGGGACAGACAGACACACAGATTGGTCAATTAGTCCACGGACAGACAGACAGCTCGGTCAGTCATTCCAGGATGAATGTCCAAGTCCAGATGGACAGACAGACAGGTCAGTGAGTTCAGAGAAAGACAGACAGCCCAGTCAGTCCAGGGACAGACAGACAGACAGATTGGTCAGTCAGTCCAAGGACAGATTGGTCAGTCTAGGGACAGACAGACACACAGATTGGTCAGTCAGTCCAGGGACAGAAAGCTCGGTCAGTCATTCCAGGATGAATGTCCATGTCCAGATGGACAGACAGACAGCCCCATCAGCCAGCCCAGGGATTGGCAGACAGACAGATCATGGTCAGCTGTGAGGGATGGACACAGCCTGGTCAGTCAGCCCAGGGGCTGGTTGCAAGGGACAGACAGACAGACAGCCCAATCAGCCCAGGAACAGACAGACAAATAGACCTTGGTCAGTCAGCCCTGGAGACAGACGGCTGGACAGACAGCTCAGTCAGTCCAGCAAAGACAGATGGACAGACAGCCCCGTGGCCAGCTGTGAGGGATGGATGAACAGTCAGACAGAGCTCCATCAGTCAGCCCAGGGACAGACAGACAGAGCTCCATCAGTCAGCCCAGGGACAGACAGACAGAGCTCCATCAGTCAGCCCAGGGACAGACAGACAGGTCAGTCGGCCCCAGGGATGGCTGTGAGGGATGGACAGACAGGAGAGTTTGGTCAGTTAGTCATGGTCAGCCAGCTTGGTCATCCTGGGAAGGGACAAATGGATGGACAGACGGACAGCTTGCAGAGGAATCCCTCTGTCCCCTGCCCTGCTGAGCCCTGAGCATCTCCCTTGGCACTGGGATGTGCTGGGACACGGAGGGGAGGGAGGGCAGGGGTTTGACAGAGCAGCTCGGACACCTCGGGGACACCTTGGGAACACCTTGGGGACACCCTGGGGCTCATCCCTCACCCACACACCCTCCCTCTCCCCGGATCCTGCCCCCCAGCTCACATCAAGCTTGTAGGGCATCGACTCGAAGAAGATGGAGGTGGCCGAGATCCTCTTGACGTCGGTCATGTACCCGTGCGTGAGGCTGGGGGGAAGGCACGGGGTGAGGCCGGGACCCCCGGGGGGCAGCGGGCCCCACGTTCCCCCCACAGCTCCCCACGTACTGGCCCCCATCGGGCAGGTCCAGCCCCATCAGGCGGTCATGAGGCTGCAGCAGGGCCGTGTAGGCGGCGAAGTTGGCCGGGGAGCCCGAGTAGGGCTGGACGTTGACGCCCCAGCGCGCCGGGTCCAGGTCGAACGCTTCCAGCGCCCGCCGCTCGCACAGCAGCTCGATCTGATCCACCACCTCGGCCCCCCCGTAGTACCTGGGGACACGGGACGGGGTCAGCAGGGGCTCCCCGCTGCCATCCCCGCCATGGGAGACTCCCACTGGGAGCACCCGGGGCTCTCCTGGATGTTTCCTGCAGCTGAATCCCAGCTGAATCCCCCAGCGCCCCCCCAGCCCACTCCCCACTTTACCTCTTCCCAGGATACCCCTCCGAGTATTTGTTGTTGAGGCAGGAGCCCAGGGCTTCCAGTGCTGCCCGGCTGCAGAAATTCTGGGGGGAAAAGGTGGATGGGAATCGGAACAACCCAACCCCCCTAAGCAGGGGCTCCCCCCAGGCCCGACCCCTGCCCGAGCCCCCCGGCCCCTCACCTCAGAGGCGATGAGCTCCAGCCCCCGGCACTGCCGATCCTTCTCCTTCTGCACCAGGCTCCACATTTCGGGGTCGCTCTCGGCCAGGCTCTCCTGCCCCGTCCAGCCAGGGACGTGCCCGGGGGCGGCGGCGGCAGCGGGGCCGTGCTGTGCCCGCCGGCTGCCGGTGCCCACCCGGCCCCCCCATCGCTGCAGGGTCTGCACAGACAGGGGGGGACACGCTGGGACCCCTGGAGCCCCTCTAGCCCACCCCAGGACCTGCAGGTGACGGTGGCAGGCACGACACCCCCATGTTCTGTCTCCAGCCACTGGTGTCACCCCACCAGGTGGGGGCATGGGGACCCCAAAGACCCCCACAGGGCACATGGAGACTCCTCCATGGTCCCCATAAAGCACATGGGGACCCCCCAAGCTCCACACAGGGCACATGGTGACCCCTCCAAGGTTCCCACAGGGCACAAGGGGACCCCCAAGACACATGGCTACCCCCCAAAGCTCTCCACAGCGTATCTGGGGACCCCACAAGCCACATGGGGATCTTCCCAAGACCCCCACAGGGTACATGAAGACCCCCTCAAAGTCCCCACAAGGCACACAAGGACCCCCGAAGACACTTGGGGAGTCTCCAGTGCCCCATAAGGCACAGAGGGATCCCCCCAAGCTCAGGTACGCAGCTGGATTCTCACTGCTGGGACCCCCCCTCATATACGTGCAGCTGGGCGGGGGGGGGGGTGGCTGTGGGGGGACACCCGTGCACAAACAGGGGGGGCCCCAGCGCCCCCCTCACCCCGGTGCTGGATGATGTAACCGGCAGCACCCCATTGCATCACCCGCGGGGCCGCGGGCACCGGGCAGGGGCCAAGGCCGGTGGCGGCGGCTGTCCCGGCCCCGGGGACTTTGGGACGGACGCAAAGTCCGCGGGGTGGGGAGCGGGGGGAGCCGGGCTGGGGTGGGGGACACACGACACCGGGATGGGGGTCCCGGTGCCCAGCCGGGGGCGAGAAGAAGCGGGATGGAGTTGAGACCCCCGGGGGCGATGGAGGTTGGAGGAAGGGGTGCACGGGGGGGCACCGGGACACCCCCAACCCCCGCCAGCGAGGACCGGGAGCTCTCATTGGGGACCGGGAGATCCCACCGGGGACCGGGACATGCCGGGGACCGACTGCCCTGCGAACACCGGGGGCTGCAGCACACTGTGGGCACCGGGACCCCTGCGAGCACCGAAAGCTCCCCGGGGACCGGGACCCCTCTGGGCTCCGGGACACCCCCTCCGGGCACCGGGGCCCCAGTGGGTGTCCCCCCGGGGTACCTGGACTGTCCCCCGGGCACCGGGACCCTCGTGAGCACCGGGAGACACCAAGGGCCGGAGCGCCCGGCGCGCACCGGGGGATGCGGGAAGCGGGGATCCTTACCGGGGATCCCTACCGGGAACCGGGGACCCCACCCCCGGGCACCGGGCACCGGGCCCCTCTCCCAGCCCCGAGGCTCACCCTGCCCAGGCGGAGCGGCCACATCTCGGTCCGCGCTGCACGTGGGTCCCAGCCGGGTCCCGGCCCCGGTCCCGGTCCCGCTCCCGGCCCCCGCCTGGCCCCGCCCCCACGCGCGCGCTGCCGGGAGGGCGGAGCCACCGGAGCCGCGGGGCCGACGGGAAACGGGAGGTCCGAGACCTCCCCCACCCCCCCAGCCGGGGTCAGCCCGACCCCTGCACCCCCATATCCCCGATCCTGGGGTCCCCCGCCCCTGCACCCCCCCATATCCCCGATCCTGGGGTCCCCCGCCCCTGCACCCCCCCTATCCCTAATCCCGGGGGTCTCGCCTCCTCCCTCTCTCCCCATTCCCCGCTCCGGGCGGGATCATCAAACTCATTTTTTCTTTTTTCCCAGGTTTTTCTTTATTTTCCACTTTTTTTCCATTTTAATTTTCTTTAAAAAAAAAAAAAAAAAAGATGAAGAAGCCCCTCCCCGAGAGGAGGGGGCAGCCCCCCGGGACCCCCCCCATGGCATCCCTAACCCCCGCCTGGCACATCATCACGGCGTTGGGTGGGGGGGGGCTGCACACCTGCGGGGGTCCCCGGTGGGGGTGAGGGGTTCATGGGGGGCGGGGGGGCTCGGATGTGGCACCGGAGCGTGGCCAGTGGAGGGGAGGGGGCTTCAGAATAGCTGGGTGTGGCCCTTGCACACGCGTGGTTCGTGTGTGTCACACGCGCACGTGGGGAGGATGAGGAGAGACCAAAACCCCGCAGGGTGAGGACTGAGCCTCCCCCCAGAGCACCCTGACCCCCCTCACAGCACCCTGACCCCCCTCACAGCCCCCTGACCCCCCCCCCAGAGCACCCTGACCCCCCCCCAGAGCAATCTGACCCCCCTCACAGCACCCTGACCCCACCCCGTGTCACCCCAGAGGTGACATCGCATGGGGCTGTGCCCCCCAGTGCAGCGACCCCTGCCCAGCCTCCAGCATGGGGGGGCTCCGTGCCTGCACCCCCCCAGCTGCAGTGAGGGGGTCTCGGTGGGTGGGGGGCCGGGACCCCCAGCACCAGTTGTACCCGATGAGGAGCCGGGTGGGGCAGTGATGGAGTTTCAGTGGGTGGGGAGGGGTCTCAGTGGGTGGGGGTCCAGGATTCCCAGCACAGGCAGTGCTGCAGTGATGGGGTCTCAGTGGGTGAGGGGGCGGGGACCCCCAGGAACGGGTGTACCCCAGAATGGGGGGCTGCAGTGATGGGGTCTCAGTGGGTGAGGGGACCCCCAGGAACGGGTGTACCCCAGTGATGGGTCTCAGGACCCCCAGCACCGGCTCTACCCCAGTGATGGAATGTCACTGGGGGGGAACTGGGACCCCCCAGCACCGGCTCTGCCCCACTATGGGGTACTCAGTGATGGGGTCTCAGTGGGTGGGTGGGACCCCCAGAACTGGGTGTACCCCACTGTGGCGCAGGGATGCTGCAGGGACGGGATGTCATTGGGTGGGGTCCAGGACCCCCAGCACCGGCTGTCCCCCAGCCCAGCATGGAGATGCTCCAGTGATGAAGAGGGAGCTGGTGTGGGGGTGACAGAAGCCCCCAAGTGACAACGGGGCGCTGCAACCCCCCCGTTCCCCCACCCATCCCCTGCTCCGCTGCCATCAGCCGAAGTAGGGGTTGTCGTGCTGGAAGTTGTAGTCGGGACAGACCTTCTGCACCAGCTTGTAGTCGATGCTGAGGAAGGAGATGAAGATGCAGATGACCTTGAAGGGCTTGGCGCAGAGCCAGGCCGCGTGGCTCTGCGTGTGCTCGGTGAAGCACACCTTGGACGGGTCGTACAGGCACGGTTTGTTCTTCCGAGCCCGGTTCGTCTTCTCGTACTCCACGTGGCAATTGAGCGCCTTGGCCGGGCGCCCCTCGGGGAGGGTGCTCTGCTGGGGAGGGGGCGGTGGTCGCGGCAGTGCTGGGGGGCCGGGCACCAGCACCTCGAAACCCACCGCCTTGGAGGGGGGCACGATGCTGACCGAGACGTTGCCCAGGCTGGAGGAGTTGTGTCGGAAGTAAACGCTGAAGGTGCCGTTGATGTGATCGACGATTTTCCCCGTCACCAGGAGGCTGAACTTGAGAGTCTTGATGTTGAAGTAGAAGTCGCCCCAACCAAAAATCTTCTTGGTGCGGCTCGATTTGAGGATGGGCTTGCGGTGGGCGCGGGGGCTCAGCAGCTCCCCCGCCGTCTGGTTCTTCTGCCAGTCCCAGGGGCTCCGTCCGGTGCCCGCCGGTGTCCCCGCGCCCCGGGGCGGCTCTGCCGGAATGAGCCGCCCGGGGTCGAGCACCGGGGGCTTCAGAGTGCCGTAGGGGACATCCTTGAGGAGGCCGGAGGTGCCCATCTCCAGGTACCCCAAGGTCTTGGCGACGTGACCGCCAGCACACACCGTCTGGGGGAGAGAGGGCAGAGAGCTGTGTCTGTGCCCTTCCTCATCCCTCTGCCTGCATCCTCCCGCCTGCACCCTCCTCATCCTCCTGCCTGCACCCTCCTCATCCTCTACCTAGTCCCCCCTCCTCATCCTCCTTCCTGCACCCTCCTCATCATCCTGCCTGCGCCCTCCTCATCCTCCTTCCTGCACCCTCCTCATCCTCCTGCCTGCACCCTCCTCATCCTCCTGCCTGCACCAGCCGGGTCGGGACCAGCCCCTTCCCAAGTCTCCCCCAGTCACTGGGATGGACACCAGTGAGCAGAGCCAGCTGCCAGCCCTAGCCTGGGACCCCAACTCTGACGTGTCCCCTGTCCCTCATCCCCCTGCCCACCTGCCCCCTGCGCCCCCATCCCTCATCCTACGGCTCCCGGGGTCCCCTCTGTGCCCTCCTGCCCTGCCAGCTGCTCCGGCATGCGGGATGCTGCTCCAGCAGCCCCGGCCTCGTCAATCACTGTCGCCCTGAGCTGGCAGGTGCTTGGCTGCTCAGGCAGTTTCTGCTCTGGATGACCTGGATCCCGGGGGGAACGAGGGAGGGAGAGTGGGGCAGCAGAGGCTCCAGCTGGAGGGGCTGGGGGGAGCGTGAGGGGCTGTGCTCTCATGGGAAGCTGAGGCAGGCCCAGGGAACGGCTCCTGTCATTGCTGGGGGCTCATCCTGGCATCACTCACCCTACAGAATGGCTTGATGCCATTTCCTGCTTGGGAATGATCCCCATGGGGAATGACGGGGGTCCCATGAGCCCCCTCAGAGAGGGGTGAGCCTCCCATGCCCCCTCCCCCATGGCCGGGCAGGTCTCAGTGCAGGGTGTCCCTGCAGAGATGGAGCAGCACCATGGGGGGAGCCCAGCCAGGGACCCCCACACTCTGCTGAGCCAGGGGCTCCATCTGATCCATCCCTGGATCCCCCGGAGCTGTGCCGGGCTGAGCTCCTAAATCTGCTCTGCTTGTGCTGCACCAGAGAGAGGAACCCTGGGCAGGGCACGCAGCCCCTCCGTGCCCGTGGGAAAGGGATTTGGGGTGTTTCAGCCCATCATGGGGGGGCCAGGGTGTGCAGTGCAGAGCTGCAGCTCAGCACCCACCCCTGCAGCCCCCAGCCCGGCCAGCCCCCCGCTCCCCCCGGCTCTTTCCGAGCGCGGCTGCTGCCTTCGCCCTTATCTATATTTCAACGCAGCTTCAAAGCCGGGCGCCTTCGCCAGCCGGAGAGGGGGGGGGCAGGACCGGGATGAGATAACGAGGGGAGCGGGGCACCCCTCAGCTGAGAGAGCTGCATTTTTGGGAGAGGGATGGTGTCTGCATCCCAGCTCTGCTCCGTCTCTCCATCCATCAAACCTGGGACCCCTCACACCGCGCTCTGGGGAAGCTGAGGGGCACCAGTGACCCCTCGACTGGGAGCCCCCCAAATCCTTCTGCACCCACGGCGAGGGGCTGGGGGCTGCAGCCCATGAGGAACACACAAAGCAGCGCATCCTGCTGAGCCCCCACCACCGGGAAGGATTTCTGGAGGTTTCCGAGCTCTGCGCTGGATTTCCATCTCAGCCAGGGCTGGGAGCCAAGGCCGGTCCCCAGCAGTGCCGCAGGTGCCTGTGCCCTCCTCCCCTGCCTCAGTTTCTCTTCCCAATCCCCCCACGCCGTGATCCCGTGCAGGGATGAGGGGGCTGTGATGTGATCGGGTTGGAGCAGGCTGTGATGGGAATCGCGGGAGGGACAGGGAAGGGACAGGGATGGGCAGGCGGTGGGGAGGGGACGCAGTGGGAGCAGATGGGGACAGAGACTGGCAGCGCCCGCTGTGCCCTTGGGGGCTGCGGATCCCCAGGCCAGGCTGGTGCGGGACAGAGCCAGGGGCTGGGGGGAACAGGCCGGGCACGGACAGAGCAAACATCCCCCATCCCTGCAGGAACAGAGGTGCCCCAGCCCCCGCGGGCAAGGGGCCAGATTGGCAGCCCCCCAACCCTTCCAGTCCCTCGGCAGGAGCTGCTGGGGGAGCGAGGGATGAAAGGGAATTGCAGAGCAGGGCAGCGGCTGCGATGCAGCCAAGGGCGATCGATTGCGGCACCAGCGCAGCCCCGGAGCGCGGGGGTCCCTCTCTGCCCGCAGCCCCCGCTGAGCCCAGGCCGGCCGGGGGGCTCGGAGCCTGCGGGCTCGGGATGAGCCAGGGACGCTTCAACCACGCCAGAGCCGAGGGGAGACAAGGTCACCCCCCTGCGCCCTGGCAGCGCTGTCGGCATTCAGGGCAGGTCCCGTACACCTCGCGTTAAATATTAATGCTCCCGCTGTGCCGTCGGGGTGCAGCCGCACGCACGTGCCCCTGAACCTCCGGGACATGCGGTGGGGGTCCCAGTGCCGTCCCCCTCCCACGCTGCTCTCCCCAGGAGCTGCGGGCAGTGCCGGGCAGGGCCGTGCCTGGCTCTGTGCTGTGAGGGGCTCTGCTACCGCGCACAGGAGACCCGAGATGGTGGTTTGTCACACGCACTGCTGTATCTACACATCCCTGCTGCTCCCCTCCTCATCCTCTTGCCTGTGACCCCCTCCTCATCCCCTTCTTGTGCTTCTCCTCATCCTCATCATGATCCCTGTGGTGTCATTCCATGGTTTAGCTGCTCTCAAGCCCCTCGTGTGCCCTTCTGTGCCCGTGTGGGGCTGCCATGAGGCCACAGGCACCGTCTGCCACCCCCCGCGAGCACACGGAGCCAGGCAAGGATGCGGGAAGGGCTTGAGGCAGCTGCAGAGGGACCTGGAAGGCTCTCGGTGCCGGCATCAATTTGGTTTGTCAGGCCCGGCGGTGATGGCCACTCACATCCCATTTGCTGTTGGGGCCAAGCGCCGTCAGCTGCTCCCCCGAGACCCTCGGTCACCTTGGTGGAGGGGAGCGGAGCAGTGGGGGGGTCCTGGCTGCCCCGGTGTGGGCTGGGATGGGCTCCAGCACCCCGAGAGCGGGGCTGGGAATGATGGGGTTCGAGCTCAAGGCAGAGCAGCCCTGCCAGCACTGGGTGGGGGAGCAGAGCACCCCACAGCAGCCCCCAACAAAGGCCTCATCTCCACCACCAGCCTGTCCCAGGCTTGTCCCCATCTCTGCTGCCAACCTGCTTCAATTCCTGAGGCCAGCCTGTCCCTGTCCCCATGGCCAGTCTGTCTCCATGCCCACCACCAGCCTGTTCCTGTCCCCATGGCCAGTCTGTCTCCATGACCACCATCAGCTTGTTCCTGTCCCTACCACCAGCCTGTCCCCATTGACACCATCAGCCTGTGCTCACCCCTACCACCACCCTGTCCCAATCCCCAACTCCTGTCCCCATCCCCATTCCCTGTCCCCATCTCCATCCCCTGTCCCCATCCCCATCCCCTGTCCTCATCCCCATCCCCATCCCCTGTCCCCTGTCCCCATTCCCTGTCCCTATCCCCTTTCCCATCCTGTCCCCACACCTTGGCGGGGTCCCCAGGCAGCACAGACACTGCTCCCCTGCTCGGGGGTCTCCTGCTCTCCCCATGGGCGCAGAGTCAACCCAGCCTCTCCCCTGTCACCCCGACGCCTTCGTTAGCACGAGGAGATTAATTGGAGGTGGTGAGCGACAATCCCCGCGGGCCCGCTCCCCCCGGCACGCGCAGCCCGGGGCGCCGTGGCATTTCCAAAGGTTAGCAGCAAACAAGGTGCCTCTGACAGCTCCCATTTATCTCCCGGCGCCGCGCGGGTGCTAATGCGGTACCGGGAGGGACCCGGCGTGCCCAGGCGTGTCCGAGCGGCTGCGCGTGGGAGAGAGAGCACGGACAGCTCCGGAGCGGCTCTTCCTGAGCCTCCGGGTGAACGTGTGCGCCCATGGGTGCCGCGGGTGTGCGCCCATGGGTGCCGCGGGTGTGAGCCCGTGGGTGCCGCGGGTGTGCACCCGTGGGTACTGCGGGTGTGAGCCCATGGGTGCTGCGGGTGTGAGCCCATGGGTGCTGCGGGTGTGAGCCCATGGATGCCGCGGGTGTGCGCCCATGGGTGCTGCAGGTGTGCGCCCGAGGAGTGCGGAATGCCAGCGGCTGCTCTGGAGCGCAGGCACTGCTGCACACGCGGCTGGGTGTGCACAAACACCGCCATGTCCTGCGCGGCCCTGAGAGCGCTGCTGTGACACGCACGCGGTGACACGCGGTGACACATGAGGTGACACATGAGGTGTCACACACATGGTGACACACACACGGTGACACGCAGTGACACACACACAGTGACACACACAGTGACACGTGGTGACATGCGGTGACACATGCGATGACACACATGGTGACACACACACGGTGACACACACAGTGACACACACAGTGACACACACACGGTGACACACACACGGTGACACACATGGTGACACAAGCACCATGACACACACAGTGACACATGCACAGTGACACACATGCTGACACACGCGATAACACGCACAGTGACACACATGGTGACACAAGCAGTGACACACACCGTGACATGCACAGTGACACACACGTGCACGGAGTGAGGTGCTTGGTGTGGCTGCGTGTCCCCGCTGATGTTTTCCTGTGCTCCTTGCACACCCGCCCCCGTCCTCACCGCCATCCCATCCCCATCCATACCATGTGCGCCCGCCCCCATCCCCACTGCCAGCCTGTCCCTGTCCCTACACCCAGCCTGTCTCTGTCCCTACAGTCAGCCTGTCCCCATCCCCACTGCCAGCCTGTCCCTGTCCCCACTGCCAGCCCGTCCCTGTCCCTACAGTCGTCAGCCTGTCCCCATCCCCACTGCCAGCCTGTCCCTGTCCCCACTGCCAGCCCGTCCCTGTCCCCACTGCCAGCCCATCCCTGTCCCTACAGTCGTCAGCCTGTCCCTGTCCTTACAGTCAGCCTGTCCCAATTCCTGCAGCCGGCCTGTTCCCATCCCTATCCCCTGTCCCCATCCCCACTGCCAGCTTGTTCCTGTCCCCATCGTTGTCCCTGTCCTTCCAGCCACGCTGTCCCCATCC